TGTTTGATTTTGTCAACATGTCGTTTGGAAATGTACATATTCATTGCGTTCTTCTTTTAATACCCATCGCCATACGAAACTACGTATGGTTCTTACGTGGAAATAACACACACAAACCTTAGTTCATAGCCATTTGAATAACTTCTTCGAAAGTAAGAGATTCAAAATGGTTGTAAACTACGTTCATGTGTGTTATTTTCGTGCAAGAACCATACATAGTTTTGTATGTACCCATCACTGCCGACGTTTCTGTGATTAACAGTACTCAGTTGACGAAGTCACAATGAGAGCTCATCTAAAGTTGTTAACAATGTATTCAGACCCGTATCCTGACGTGGGACAATGGTGTACAGTATTTGATTGAAGAAATGGAATTGGTCGGTTGTTAGTATGTTTTCAAGCGGGCATTCCATTTTTTCTGGTGATGTGGGATTGCCTGTAGATACGGGCATCATCACTGGAACATCTGATTTGGAAATGGGGGTCCAATCGAAAAAATTTAGACACAACAGGTCTGTAGCTACATGGGGAAATGTCCCTGCGAAAAAAAATGGATCGCCCAGCCCCCCTCCTCTGAAAATTCCAGACAGCCGACCAATTCCATTACTGCAACCATTTCCCTTCTGGATATATTATTTGCCCATCCGAATAATCAAATCTGGCTACGTGCCTGCACATCAACGCAAGGTCACTATTCTTGATCATTCCAGAATGTTATATTTAAGGCGGCTTCCGAAGAAACCTCTCGCACTTTTTGTGTAGGTTTTAAAGTCATTCTCGAATTCTAATTATAGTATTTCAAAGGAAAGCAATGTTTATTCCTCGTCCGGAAGTGAGAACTTGAACTCTTTTCTAGTCATTTTTAAGGAAAAATTGCCTCATCGAAAAAACATGAGACGTGAACGAATTTTTTTTATTAAACTCAGTTTATTTTTGTTCAGCCTGCAAATTCCAACATGCCAGCGATACTTCAAAACCCTCAGTGACAAATAAGTTTGGTGATCTTGTAAATTTCTTTCTTTTTCCTTTTTGCTCTACATACTTGAAAGTAATGGGTTTTCTAGTTGTCTTGTTACTGAATGGCATGAATTATTTTTCATAATAACTTCAGTACTTCTAATCGATCAATGAATTCATTAGAAAATTGGTTAAAAAAAATATTGGCAATTTATTTTCAAGTTGCTACTTGAAGCGTACAATAGAGAACCATCCTGTTGAGGCTTTCTATCAGCTGGTAAACATGTTATGAATTATAATGAAGATTCAGAACGAATAGAGGCTATATTTCATAGTTTCAGTTGGAAGCATTGTTGAAACAACGTTGACATACATAGCAAATATTGAGATATTAACCTATCGAACATGCCCGTAACCAGACTTGATTGTTCGGAGGGACAAGTAATATGTCCAGATGGGCAATGGTGTATGGTGTATAGGCCTGTATCCAGACTTGATTCTTCGGCCTCGCAAGTAATATATCCGGGGGACAATAGTGAATGGTGTTTACTTGTTCTTTTGTGGGGTGTGTGTGTGTGGGGGGGGGGGGGTGTGTAGGGGGGGGGGGGGGGGGTATCCCTTGCCCCCTATAGCTAGAAAACTGCTTTAGTACACAATTTGTTGTGATATTAAAAAATCTGATTACAATGAATTTGAAGGTTTATTGATTTGGTTAGGTATGGTATCCAATCTGTTATCAGTGATATTGATTATTCGGGAAATCGGGAAAATACCTTAAAGGAATCAGGAAAGCAATCATTAAAATCTTACTACTGCTATGTACTGAAGACACATTCTAACAATTGAATAAAGGTGACATGATATTGATTTCAAATGGCCAAGAAACGAAAAGGGTTCTAAGAGCACCGATTGTACAAGATAGACATTACAAGAAACAGTAAAGAATCCTCGATTCTAATTAGTGGCGTTTCCACCGACTTGCCCTCCCTCCTCCCACACACTATCAAATTTCTTATCAATAAATGTAGGTGTCCCCCCCCCTGTAATTTCTGTGGCCCTTTTAGCCCCCTCACCGAATGATTCTTAGAAACGCCATTGATTTTAATAGCTAAAAGCATTAAATCTGAAATGCCAAAACTGACCTTTTTGGACCGATTCTGATCACTGAACTCTGATGACTAATCTGAGAGATCCTACACGAAGCCATAAATCATATCAGTGGAATTGATTGATAATGTTCCTACAATGATTAGAAATTATTTCTACTGTTTGACCTGGTCTACAGTCTGTTATCAATCATCTTAGTTTGATTCATTAATTAATCTTCAGCTTCATCAATATTTATACTGGAGGGGGATAACTTGCCTTCATCAATTACATGTATTTCATGTAACGGACACCGCTCATTGGGCGCTCTTTAATGTCGAATGTCCCCCATGGTATACATAATTACCGCTTGGTCGACTGGCGTAATGCTTCCAGGTTATAAGACGGAGATAATCAGCTACGAACAAATATTTTCAGACGTAACCAAGCGCATGACGTCATACAATTCCAAGCACTCTAACCTATTTTGCTACAGCCCCCTAACAATTGTATTCAGACGTCATATTGCAATACTGAAAAATGATCCTGAAATTGAACTCTTCCAACAGGGCTTGATAATATTATTATTATAAGACGATATCCTTTAAAGAAGAGTTGTAAGGTATGGAATCTCCAGACGAGTTCATGTCATAAGAATAGGATTTGACCGTATGTCGTGCTGGTGACAGGACTTCAGATAAATATTCCCCTTTGCTCACTATTATATATGCATTCATCTCTGTGGCTACGTTTGGTTTCCCAGAGGATAAGAAGTTTTGACGGGTCATAATGGACTTGACTATGAGAATTCGTTTGTACAGTCCACTCAAATGACAGACTTACATTAGTCATTAGCTCACATGGTGCAGAAAAGTAGGACGTAAAACTTTTTTCATTTCAAATGACAGAATTACTCCATTGTATTATTTCAAATAGCCATGTCAGTACCATGTATTATTACGATCTTCATGCTTTTGTCATCAACTATCTCCCGTATGTTACATGGAGCTCAATCAGTATGTACTGTTATGACTGCGCTCTCACTCACTCCATGTATTCTGTATTATTTCGAGATTTTAGTTTTATCTCAATCAAAAATCTCCCGTATGTTACATGAAAGCTCAACCAACACGTAATATTTCGTGAATAACTTTATTTCATGATGACTATGGCAGTTTTCAAAACAGACGCACTAAACATATACACATTTTCTATCCAATCTTAAATCTTTACCCAAAATCGTTCGACACTATATAGACATGCGAAAATTCCAAAAGAAGCGAAAGGGAGATCGTAAAGGGGTATAAACGAGTATATGGTAGTGGTGGGTGTCGCGTGCGAAGCAGACCATGCTCTCTCTTTTTGAAACTTCTCTTTAGAGGAGTCTTTTACTCTACATTTTGCTATACTTTGAACGAGATTTTGATTAACGGAATTGTCTTGCTTGTACTGATTGTTAATACCTCGTTTGATTATTTTAATATTGCATGATTGATGTGCTGCGGCACATTTACCTGACTCAGCATCCCAACCGCCATCTGCCGCATGTTTATAACATCAGGTATTAGTGCTATGTTATATCTCGACCTCACGCTGCATCAATAATTCGTGATAAATATACAATAACAGTCACGTTTATTTCCATAGTTATTTTCCAGTAAAGTTATTGAAACTTAGAAAGAAAATCGTTCCTCCGTCGGATTGCTTAATATCATGTCTGAGATACAGAAATGAAAGAAAATTCCGTCCATTTGAAGGAATCTTCACATTGTTATTTATATATTAAGAAATGATGTTTGGCTTACTTCGATACAATTGAGAATTGGATTCAGTGACGTTTCAACCTCGGCTTTGACCCCCCATTCTTGGTAAATTTTAAGAGGTATACCTGCTACAGTAGAGTATGGTAGAAATAACCACGACAAATCTGAACCTTCCCGTTCTTCAGCCATGATGAAGAGATGTCATATCGTCACAGTTAGGACCAGACTCAATAGGTCACCTTTCGCTCAGATTCAGTTTTTGATGGTAGTTTTTGAGAATTTTCACAATGACAAAGAGTTTGGTATCTGAGCCATTAATGAGTCCATCGAGACATTTTAGGGTATTGCACATTGTCTCTGTGTCTCACACGGTTCCACAATACACACCAGGGGTATGGACAGACTGGAAGCGAACTTGTTATATAGCTACCAACGACCGTTCGTTGACGGCAGTTCAAACATTTTAGCCTGGCTAAAGCAAGATGTTGAAGCGGTTGGAATTTTCGGTAGACGTTGGACAATTCCAGACAAAACCGCCGATATTATATATTAAGATTGACAATATATTTAAAAACAGTTGTTGACCTTATCCAATTGTTAAACTCGCTGATTCAAACGTTTCAAACCTGGACAGGTCAAACTCTTTTTAATATCTTTATTATTTTTTCTACTTATGTCCAGACGAATTTTATGTATTTGTCATGAAAGACTGGAACTTCTTTGTAATACTTGGTAAATATAATAGCTGTTGATCTCACAGTTTAGTTTAATTCAAACATATTTTATTACATTGTGTAAAAGGATTGTAATGAAGGGATTTGGTAAGTTAGGAATTTATCCATTCCATTATTTCATACAATAATATAGGCTACAAAACAGAAGCTCAAAAACAGCAAAAGGTCCACACAAAAACGAAAGAAAAAAAGAAAAGCTTATACGATAAATTAAATCTAATGATACATTTTCATTTAAAATGTGCCTCGCTACTGACCCTTGCACCCGAAAACGATTACGAAATTGGTACAGTTATAGGGGAGCCGTAGGGAGCATCTCTGTGTATTTCTTGGTTTAATAGAATACAAGATGCCCAAAGATATATAGCATTCAATCTCGTATTCTAATTATTTTAAAAGGTGTTATATTTCTTACACGCCCAGGGCTGCCTAGACAGACCACAATACATACGATATTCAACACTTGTAAGTATAAGATATTCAACATTTGTAAGTATAAAATATTCAGCACTTGTAAGTATAAGATATTCAACATGTGTAAGTATAAGATATTCAACATTTGTAAGTATAAGATATTAAACACTTGTAAGTATAAGATATTCAACATTTGTAAGTATAAGATATTCAACATGTGTAGATATAAGAAATTCAACATGTGTAAGTATAAGAAATATTCAACATTTGTAAGTATAAGATATTCAACATTTGTAAGTATAAGATATTCAACATTTGTAAGTATAAGATATTCAACACTTGTAAGTATAAGATAAGGGTAGAGCTCGTAAAACCCTGTATGTATTCTATCAGCATAGGCTAAATTTTCACTGAAATGGCTCACTTAATGTTTAAGGATTTCACAATCACGTGATACAGTTAGATTTTACATAATACTTGCTTGGTAAAAATAATATACTCATGTGCAATATAAGTATTTTCACATCTACCTATTAAGTGTTAAAGATCTACAAGAGTAAGATGAGAGTTGTTTTTGTCAAACCATCCCCAAACTATCCCATTTTTCATCAAATCAGCATTGGATAAATTTTCTACTAAGTGGCAGACATAATCGTTAAGAATTTAACCATCATGTGATTAGATTTTACTCACTAGTATGATCTAACTTTAAACACTACAATCCAGTTAAAGGAATAAACTGTTACGTTCTGCGTCTAAAAGGGATCGTAAAGCAATTTTCTAAAATACTGATAGCACTGATAGCATCAATTTGCACCTTTCCAATTTTCAATCAGACGTTTGTGGTTCCTGCAATTCCATTAAAACTAAGTAACTTCTTCCGCTAAGCTAATCAGTAAAAATGTTTTCAGCTTACCGTCGAAATTTTAGCCTTCAAATCCACGTGTATCCATAATTATGTGTGATTGAAAGATTTTTAACGAGTTTTCATTTTAAGAGACTTTTTATTTTGAATGTTCGTTGATGACGTCTTGCGTATATAGTAGACTCAATCATCCTGTCCCACTTTGTCTACGCACAGCTGCGACAGAAGATGTCTTGGTGTCAGAGACTATATCAACAAGACGTTTAACTTCCGGATACCCCAAATTTCAGAGAGAAGAAGAGAATGTGAACAAAATGAATAAAAGTGAAATATGGTGAAGTGAGGTCTATGTGAAGGAATTATGCGATTTTCGTACAGTTTTAGTATTTCTGAAGACTATTAACATATATTCAAGGTCCAAATCAACCCCCGCGTCTGTCCCTTTAAGTTGTGGCCATAGCTGTTAACATCTATAATGTGTATGTTATGACTGACTTACTGAGTCAAATATGTAATTAAAAATGCAGTTAAATGAAGGGGAAAGTTACAATAATAATAAGTCGTTGAAGTAGAAATAAAATTTACATCAATAATTTAGTTGCATACTCGAGAATAAACGTGTTAATGTTTCTCTTCGCTGCTGTACAAGATTCAAGGTTGTTGTTTTTTTATGAACATCGACTAGTAATTATAGTGTTGTATATATATAATAATACATTTAAACAGGAGCACGTTGTAATATTTCTATATAGCTCTACAATTGACGTAGTGAGCACTATTTTAACAGTGGTATTTCTATATTGCTCTACAGTTGATGTATTGAGCACTATTTTAACAGTGGTATTTCTATATTGCTCTACAGTTGATGTATTGAGCACTATTTTAACAGTGATATGTCTATATCGCTCTACAATTGATGTATTGAGCACTATTTTAACAGTGGTATTTCTATATCACTCTATAATTGATGTATTGAGCACTATTTTAACAGTGGTATATCTATATAGCTCTACAATTGACGTAGTGAGCACTATTTTAACAATGGTATTTCTATATCACTCTACAATTGATCTATTGAGCACTATTTTAACAGTAGTATTTCTATATCGCTCTACAATTGATGTATTGAGTACTATTTGAACAGTAGTATTTCTATATCACTCTATAATTGATGTATTGAGCACTATTTTAACAGTGGTATTTCTATATCGCTCTACAATTGATCTATTGAGCACTATTTTAACAGTAGTATTTCTATATCGCTCTACAAGTGATGTATTGAGCACTATTTTAACAGTGGTATTTCTATATCGGTCTACGATTGATGTATTGAGCACTATTTTAACAGTGAAAATATTTTATTATTGTAAATTTGATATATTTATATATATTTGATGGAAGATCAGTTTGACAATAAAGTCTTGAAAAAAGTAAAGTAATTTACCATAAATTAGCACAAGAAAAATTTAACAAAATGTGCCAGTGTGTTTATTAATTATCACGACTTTTAGTAACTCCAATTATATCTTCCATGAATAATAGAAAATATTGTAAATTAAATTCCTAAATAGCAACTAGATTTTAAATTTTTCACAGATTCTCGTCGCCTGGTGTGAACAGTAATTTAGTTTTAAGCTTTAGAATACAGTAGTAAGAAAATTGAATTATTAAAAAATATTAACAGTTATACCGTCTATTTTCTATTAAAATACTATTTTATGTTTCACACTTTGCTTCCTGATCTGTTAGAATTTTCACTCAGCGTTGGTAAAACGTGTTAGATCATTTTCTCTATTCATATTTTTATTCTCCAGGGCTCCAATAACCATTAAAATTCATAGCTGGGCCAAATTCATCTCGCAACATGCAAACTTCCCATTCTCATGCTAATACAATTCATTAAATTTGGCAGTTACCTTCAGTTTTTTGTTAAAATTGATGACAATGAGTTGGCAGCGATCTTTCTGGAAGATTCCAGGGCGAAATCAGAATTCTCAGAACTCTCAATCAACCAATCTGAAGCAGATGCCGACGAAATAGTCCTAATCTTAAAGAGACGTAGTCGTCTCAATATTTCCTTTTCAATCTTGATAGAGTTCAATTTCGGTTGTCCTTTTTACAACGTGGCGAAAGGAGACATATAAGTGCTCGTTAAAGACCATTGTTTGGCCAAAAAGTCTGTTGATGAACACCATCCTCGAAACTTTACTAACAGATGGTCGTTAGACGCTTGCTAGCTACCAGTAACATAGAGTAGCATAGAATTCAATAGTTCCGTCAGTTTTGGCGATTAGAATACTTCCAGCCCTGAACGTCGTACAGGTAGACCGATACAAACTGTATACCTATAATATCCACCAACAAGCAGGTCGGTAGCTACTGAAAGGGGCAAAAATAGACTCAATTACTGCAAGTAAAAAACCATTCTCCATTGACCCTCCGGATATATTACTTGCCGCTTGGAACAATCAAGTCTAGCTACGACAAGTGGAAATCGAAAAAAAATAAGCTAATGTCGCTGTACTGACAAAATGTCCCTTGTTGCACACTGCATTGCGTTGCCAGGCCTTATTAAAGCGGTCAGGAGGATACCTATACGACGTAAACCTCCTCTTCATATCTTTCGTTATTTGGATCTTTTATATTATGGCCGTACAGAACTCACACTATTCATTCTAAGAAGAACATAAATCATTGTTACGACATTTAAGACAATCGAACCCATAAATCTGGAGTTTACATGGATGTTAACTTTTCATTAAACGCCATATTGAATTCCTGAAAGCCCATTATTCACATACACATTTGAATTTATCTGAAATGCGATTGGTCTTTACAAATAAAATGTAAACCAATGAAATGGATGACGAGACGCCAGGGACCAATGGAATTTAACGGTGAAGATGGGAGATCTCTGATAGTCAGACAATTTTCTAGTTTTGATTTCTCCCGTGGGCTAGGGTGAATAAAATTCTGAATGTCAAACTTGAAATGTTTTCTCCGTTGAATAAATTCACTAAAGTTCAAATGAGTTTTACAGTGGTCGAAATAATCCTCGGAAGGACTGAAATAACGTCGATGATTTGATGTAGGTGTTTGTGAGAAATGAAATGGTGATTACGTACTGTTTTATTTTGTTAAACAAAAAAAAGTAACGCTATACTTGACAAAGTGTGACGATTGAAATTTTTCAAAATGAGGGATTTATAACATGCACACAATCAAGCCATGCTATGACTATTCGATTTTTCTATGCCCTAGGGTCTTAACTTCTAACACTGTTTCTAGGACATCCTAGGGTCTGAACTTCTTACACTGTTTCTAGGATATCTTAGAGTCTTAATTCTAATACTGTTTCTAGGATGTCCTATGGTCTTAACTTCTAACACTGTTTCTAGGTTATCCTAGGGTCTTAACTTCTAACACTGTTTCTATGTTACCCTTGGGTCTTAACTTCTAACACTGTTTCTATGATGTCCTAGGGTCTTAACTTCTAACACTGTTTCTAGGATGTCCTACGGTCTTAACTTCTAACACTGTTTCTAGGTTATCCTAGGGTCTTAACTTCTAACACTGTTTCTAGGATATCCTAGAGCTAAGATCGTTTCGAGAATGCGTAGCCAGGACAAATTATGGGATAGCGAAACCCAAAGTAGAGCAATATGACAACATCTATATAATTGTTAACCTTGTGAAAGACAGATGTCATTTGGTTAATATTGAGATCTTACTTTAACAAATTTCATCAAAGTTGTATTCGAATGTCATAAAGAACATACATAGTTTGCAGAGTAAAAATGGTTACTCATTTCGAAACACCTGATGGTACTTCTCGCTTGGTGAGTCAATACTATGCATTAAGTCATGCTTTGGACGAGATTTTTGGTGAACGGAATAGTTTTGCTTGTATGAATTTTCATTTTTCATCAAAACTGTATTCGAATGGCATAAATCGGTTTTCTCTAATTGAAGAGTCAACATAGCACTATAAATCATGGAGTCGATAAATTATGTATAATAATAGAAATTTAATTATCAAGGGACGTAACTCTATTAATTAGCTTAATTGATTGGTAATAAGTTGTAATAATTGCCTGCTATTTACTCGACCATTCTACCGGTCCTGAATAGATTCATTCACAAATCATTGGAGGTTGCAATGAAATTTTATTTTGTAAAATGGCAGAATAGATAAACCGGGTATGAAAGATCCGAACCGCAACACGAAACCCGAAATCAAAACAACACACTGGCAAAACATTAGAAGCAGCTAATGAACTTAAGGAAGCATATCATATCATAAGTGAGTAAGTATTTCATAATACATAATACATAATGACAATCAGAAACACTAACCCACAATTTAAGGATCGTTAATATTATAGAATTTTGCATCATCAGTTTATCATTCAATTACAACCTTGGTTCCGTGACTTGGAAACGGCTCTAGTATCCCCTAGATGCTCCACGTGTATTGAATTAAAAAAAACTTTTGGACA